AATGGCAGGCGTCTTGATGGTTATCATTAGCCCTTTAGTCGACTTCAGGCTTCACAGAGGGGAAGGAACATCAGAGTGAACAAAGTCGAGAGGGGGAGGATGGAAAAGAAGAGTGTTTCAAAGATGTAAAAGAGACAAACACAAAGATAGAACAAAGGTAAGGTGAGTACTGAGAAAATATTCCAATATGGCATCGAGTGAGGTGATGGTAGTTTGAAGTGAGAAGTCAACTGCCAGTCAATAGACTTTTTTGCCGTATGAATATACGTTGCCCAGGGTGCACCACGTGGAGACAAGTCTATCGCACACCCCAGACTAATATAAATTAGCTTGTTTTTCTCCTGCTTAATTAGATTAATTAAGATTACCTCAGCCCGACATCCTAATTCAAATGGTTCAATTTCGGAAATTGAAAGAAGACAACCGCTGGCATCGAGAAATGGCATCACTGACAACGAAGAAGAGATTCGTTAGCGACAATACCCACTTTTCCGCTTATTTGTATCAGAAGAAAAAAAATACGATTCAAACTCTGTTGCAAATTCTAATTGTCTGTTGACACTTCTGTTACCACACACAGATTAATTATGAATTCTATGTCAACATCTCATATGAACTGAATCATCAACTGTTGATGATTGACAGGCTTTAAAAAAGTGAATAAATAGTAAGTTAAACAATTGAATTCTTCATGAAATTTATGGAGAATAATTTACTGTTTTTGAGACTGGAATGCCATGTAGAGAATAAATTATAACAATAATGTAGCTGAAGTAATCGGAAAGAGAGCAAATTTAGCGAGCCACACCGTATCACATATTCTGCTTTCTAAATACTATTGATTTTATCGTTTTACCACAATTGTTTAAACTCGTTATTCACATATTTTCTTTTTTAATTAACTCACACTGGCGTTCCGGCCGTATGGGTACAGGAAAAATATCTATTCAAAGTGTAATGAGTAAAATAATCAAAAAATAGCAGGCCACACCAATAGTTTCAACTAACCTCGAATGCATAGTAAGTACAATTTCCACAGGATGCATTACTCGGCCGATATTCTCGATTACACTGCCAATGGAGAGCTCCTTATGCCCCCTAGGGGAATTCTGGCGTTTCCAATTGCGTGTAAATGTTCGTCTCATGGCATTTTGAAAGGCCTTTATCAACCGACGATTGAATGGAGTTTTCTTAACCTCTGTCACTGGTGGCGAAAGTGTTGCTGGCAGTGAAAGAGTCCCCAAGATCGGAATTCGTTCGTCCTTCAACAGAGTTGCAAGTCCATCAATGTGTTTACCTTCGCCCTTAGAAATAGTAGGCTGTTCCTTGAACTGTTGCATTTTACCTGCTCTTTTGCAGCCATTTCGATTTCCATGTGAACGAGCCGTCTCCCTTTAAATGGAAATAAAACGGTGGATCAATGAAGTTCAGTTCGATTTCAAATAGATTTTTTGTCAAAATTACCCTTAGAAGTTAAACAATGAATTGTCGAGATAATGTATAACCATTAGAACTTAATGGCCTCCGCGAGTTTAGGTCGACAAAGTCATAAATCAATTAGAGGATTTGAGAATAGGAAGATGGGAGGAAATTTGGAAGCAAATTAAAGGGAGAAGGGCGGATTCCCGACAAAGTAAACCAGAAATTATTGACAAATTTCCAGATGATTTTAGCATGTCTAACCTCTGTAATTTCGGAAGTTGTTATACCACATCTGAGCAAAGTGGTTAAGAATAAACCTGCGATGTTTCTTTCCTTTAAAAAAACAACTTGTCTAACACGGCATGTCGATGAAATTGGAAGTTCTATTAACAAGCAATCCACAAAGATGAAAGTGCTTAATGGTCAATACATTAGAAATATTCGAAAGGTTCAAGAGTATTTCATATCTTAGCGCAATATGGAGCTTATAAAACAATTTTCGAGGTTCATTGCAGAGCTAAATTAAAAAGTAACAAGCAATTCGAATGCAAAGCCAAATCTTTCAAAGTGCAGTCCCAACAGTAGATTTTCGAATAGAGCACAGTGTTATTCTTCATATACTTACCTATTTAGTAATTAAACCATTCCATTGTTAGATAGACAGCTATTAGTGAAAAGTTCATTACCAATTAAAGTTCAAAGTGACTGTAATTTAGATATTAAACAATATTATGAAGTTTAAGTCGAAAGCAAGTAATTAGGGATTGTTGTTGAAAAGCTAACCAAGACAGGAACTGTTTAATAATTACAGAACCAAGGTTAAATAATCCGCTGCCATGACAAAATTGGTGATGTTTGGTTTGAAGAAGTGCTCGATGGGCAAGTCTGCCAAGTGAGAGGTCACGAGTTCAATGCCCACTGATGATGAACAAGGGTAATCGCACTAATTAATTGATAGATTACTATTTTTTCTAATAAATGCGGCCCTAAGACACCACCCATTTTAAAAAATTAAGTGATACGATTAATTCCCAACAATTATCTTGGTAACAGCATCTAAATACACAACTGTCACTTATAGAGAAAAGCCGATAGATAGTTATGAAGAGGGCAATTCTAAAGCAAAATAAAAGCATCAATTAAAACCTCGATTAAGTGGATGACCACTCTGCCGCGCAGAAATCTTCTAACTCTACTCTTCCATCAAATCGATAATCCTTGGTAGATTAAGTAATACTCTTTTCACCAAACCAATTTACTAGGTATATTGCAGATCTGATGAGAAGTGCCATGGCATACTTTACTCGCCTTTATATCAGTGGTTAGCTGATAAGAATAGGGCCAAATTCAGGAAAATAGAGAGGCTGAAGCAAGTTCTTATTATAGCTAAATCATTAAACCACTTAATGGTGAAATTATATTTAAGAACACAAATATTCCAATTTTTTATTCCTTAAGAAATGCTTTGGATGATAGTAATAATGCTCTTGGCATTCTATCTGTCCTAACATCCCCTACTGGTGCCTCTTGTTCAACACCAACTGGAGCATACTGCTATTTTTCATACATAAATTCCGTCCTTTGATTAAACTAGTCAAACTTATTCTTTTCTATTTCTGTGCGTAATGATAAAGTACATGTAAATTTATAACATAAATATCGACCTAACTCAATGTCAAGTATAGGACATAAATTTTCCACCTTTTTTAAACTAAATTGGTCAAAATAAATTGATAAGAACGTTGAGATGATCAACTTGGAAACCACCTGCGGGATTCAATTAACTTATCTCAAGAGAAAGCGAGGACTTAGCGAATAAGAGCCAAGCCCGTTGACGTCATATCGTTGATAGAACAGCCGATAGCATTTCATACATGACCACAATGAACGCATCCGTCTTCAAACGAAATTTTCAGCGGTATTTTTGAAAGTTCAACAATTCGAACTCTGTTAAGTGTTTTGAAAACCGGCTAATATTATGCAGAAATGAATGATTGGTGAGGCGCAACCGTACGTTCCTTAAATAGCCACAATTATCGACGTCAGCTTTCGTCTGAGGCCAAATCAGTTAAAATTGCACTGTGCACTGATTCACTGTAAATTTAAATCCATCTCATGTGATTCAGAACATTTATCCTTCCGTCGCTTTGAAAGCCTATCATTAACAGAAATGAATGCACAGGTAGCCTGGCTGTTTTGAAAAAAAGTGGCTCAGAAGTTGATTTCCTTGACGATTAAAATCTTTATATTTCTCCCTCCCACCTCTCTCTCTCCCTCCAATTAACACTTTTTGCATGTTTACAATTCGGTATCTTTGCTTTTAAATCGAACATTAAATGGGGGGTGCAAACATGACTGAAAAAATTCATCCTGAGCCTGCAGTCACTGATGCCTTAGGAACCCCATCTCAGAGATCGAAACTTTTGAACATCACCTTTTGTCAGATTTGAAACGGCAATTTCTCTTAACAGTCTTATTTTAAAAGACCTGATTTGTTTTTGATAATAAACCTAATTTCTCTCCGAAATATTGAAAAAAAGTATTGTCAATAGAGTGTTTTTGATAACAATTGAAGAGCATATTTAGTTAAAAGTAAAAATCTAAGTACCAACCAGCTTTGATGAAAGGAAAGCTACCATGGAATCGTTGATGGAACAAAAAAAGTAGTCGAATGAAACACACCCCGTTAATTTCAATCAATTGAAGGACACAGGCGCTGGAAAGGAACGATTTATTTTCAGTCCCCGCCGTTATTCATGACAGTAACTCTTTCTACAGGTCCATTTGCAGGTAATATGGCTGACAGTGGTCGAACGCACAGTTCTCTCCGAATTGAGCTGCCTTCAAGTGCTCATAGCAGTTGATATAGTCATTAGCTTAGATGTGGTGTATATGTGGCGCTTACTGAATGAAAATAAGCAATTATCCAAGAATGATCCGAAATTCAAGCGAACTTACTGGCACGCAGAACGGAACTTGCTATTTGTAAACAGCTGTGCTTGGACACAGTTAGAAGAAAGGGTAATTATTTTGCCCCGCTCCCAATATCTCTTAGGTTAATAAACTGCAATTTCCCACCTACTATTGCCCCCACTGATAAAAACACTGCAATTATGCTTATTTGTCCATACGCTTACTCCGACTGGGATTTGGTTTCCTTAGTACTCGTGCTTTTACCAGGGATTGCCTGTGCTCTGCTTTGAGTTAACGACTTCTGTGTGTCAAATTGCCATATTATTAACTGGGTTTTTTTTAGATTGCTTTGATCTGCAAGATTACTGCTTACAGTCTATTCGTTATAACAGACAGCCTTTTAATTTTAGCATGTCTGAGGAGTTTACATTTTGTATCATTTTCGCATAGTCTGAATTAACCTATCCAAGTTTTGCTGCGTACTTGATTTGCCTCAAAAAAATAAGTTTAATTTCGAATTTACTAATAAAATGTGTTGATCTATATAAATCTCCATATTTTGGTAAAATTTGAACAGAGGCGGGTGTGCAGCATTCAAAGGTAAAAGGTCTCAAAGACTTCTCATATTTAAATATTTTAGGGAATTGCTCCCACTACTTCCAAATACCTCACGATGAGTGACCACAGTAACTAATATGGGCTGTGATCAACAATTCTGGAACCAGTAATTTGATAAAATCACTTTATAGTACTACTCCTGCTAAAAGAGTTGACCAACCATATTATTGAAGTTAATACTCTGGACTTGTTACAGGTTGTTAAACACAAAGTGCAGATGTTTAAACCATTGGTCTGTTGTACCTATCACAGTTTTAGAGTAAAAGATTAATTGGTTGAAAAAATCATATCCTGATAGAGAAAAGCCTATGATATTTCAAATTTCAGCATTTAAATTTAAAGTTTACTGAAACAAATCAAATGAAAACTGAGGAAATTGCGCATAATTTATGATCGTGTGGTTGTTGAGTCTTTAAATTAAGAAAATAAACGCGCAAAATAAGCCTCTCGTCGCTATCAGGCAAAAGCATGTTGTGCGTCTTACCGTCAAGAATGCCAACTTTTCATTTCAACTTGATCTAAAGTAGATTTAGATCAAGTTGAAATGGGGGTACTGCTGTCAAAAGAGTCATATCTCTTTCCTTCTCTCCACTTCTCTCCTGCAATTGAAATTGAAACTAAAATAAGGACAGTTCACGTGGTTTCTACTATTGTTTACATTCGAGGAGAATTCCAATTGAGATAAGCACTGCACGGAGTGACAAGAAAGAAATTGAATCAGATACTCAATCTAATAATAAAGTTATGATGAGTTCTCATTCCATTTCCTTTTGCGCCTGTACATTTGAATGAAAGATAAACTTAATGTACTTATTAACTTAGAGAAACATGAACACCTCCAGTTGTATATTCTCGGAATAAAGTCAATTTATATTGTTAAATATTCGTTTACTGGTACAAAAAATTCAGCCTAAAAATTATGGTTAAGTCCTTGCATGCAACAGTACATTTTTATACGACTTCTCTTGTGCGTCTGAGATCCTGGAAACCTTAACGTTAAAATGGGGGAGGAGGAAGGAGGAGGGTGTGATAATATCGATTTTTTTCATCGATCTCATAGTATCGTTCTTTATCTCTTTTCATCTGAAAATGATAGGAAGATATATTGCACATTTTTTATTCAATTCTTAAGCTTTCTCCACCATTTTCACACAATAGCCCTTAATATCCAATGGTGGTTAGGTACTAATTTTCGCTTCCATGAGGGTTAGAAATTTAAGGCAAAAGGGACTTAGCAGCTGAGATACTCCCCGTTTTGAGCCAAATTTCTGAAATAAGTTGAGGTGCAGAACTGCACTGGGAGCGAAGTAATACACAACCCAGATATACAGACAGTAAGAAAGGAAACTAGAGTGGTCAGAACTGTCAAACACATAAAAGATAGATT